GGGGGTTTAAATGGAGAGAAAATGTTTTGAGAAACGATGTACAAATGCGCTTTACACAATTGATGTATGTATGGATTGGGATAACAGTTGTATGAGCCCCTAATAAAATGTTAAAAAAAATATAAATAAATAAAAACAAGCATACAGGGAAAGCAGATGGCGTCGAGTCTTATTCTCGGGTTTTAGCGTTGTGTGTAGGTAGCCTTGCTAGAAAAGAGGTCATGAATGCCGAGCACCTCGTGGAGAGCAGACTGCTGTCACGGAAAACTAATCCAATGATGTCACTGATGCCATCACACTGACAAAGTTCAGAGTGGCCAGAGGATGAGCCCAGGGACTTTCAATTCAGGTAGGCACTCTACCTAAAGGGTCTCTCTGAGTTGGCCTTTACTTGATGGCAGTGAGTTTGGGGTTTTTTTCGGTTCTCAACCTTCCTAGTGCCACATCCTTTTAATATAGTTCCTCATGTTGTGGTGTCCCCCCAACCATAAAAGTATTTTCGTTGCTATTGTTATAAATCGGGAGACTGTTATGAATCAGGCGACCGCTGTGAAAGGGTCCCTAAAGGGGTCGCGACCCACAGGTTGAGAACTGCTGGGTTTCACAGAAGCGAACACCTGTCCCAAGAGACAGAGTAGTGGCGGTAGCTGCTGCTGCTGCTGCTGCAGGCACGTCCCTGAAAGAGAAGAGGAGGACTTCAGAGCCTGCAGCCTGCAGGGAGTACACGGATTGTTTTTAGGGCTGCTAAAATATACAGTATCAGAGCTGTGTCACCCTCAGGTTGAATTTAAATCTAATGGGTAAGAACTCAGCAGTGCCTGTGATTGGGATATGGTAGGATACAAGGAGTGCAGGGCTCTAATCTTTAGACCAGTGTCTCCAGATGGAAATGCCTGGGACATCTCACTGCAGATTCTGACTCCGGTCGACCCTAAAGAAGAGTAAGACTGCCCTATGGGTTTCAGAGACTGACTCTTCACAGGAGTAGAAAGCCTCAACTTTCTTTTCCCCTCAGAGCTGCTGGTGGCTTCAAACTGCTGACCATGTGGTTAGCATCCCAATGAGTAATCTACTATGCCACCAGAGCTCTAGGGCAGAAGATACCCCACCCATGAGATAAGAGATGGGGACAGATTCGCGATTTTCAGTAGTTTCTCAGTCCAGCATCAATCTCAACAATTTTTTCATCCATCTTGAGCATCAAAATATTAGCCATCAAACACACGCACACCCTTCTGTGGCTTTTCACTGCAACTATAAGGATATGTAAATAGCAACTGGTTCCTGCCTCTCTTCAAGGTTAATCCATCTTTATCACTGAGGTTTCATCGAGAATTTAGCAGTTAACATCCTCAGGCCACCTTTATCTATAGTACGCAGTCCCCTTCCCACACTGCAGTAAGGTGTCCATCCGGAGCCCTCAGTGCTGCTCTGTCTGGCTCTGAAACCGACTGAGCCAACCCACTCAGCATCCCATTTTGCTGCGGCATATTCATGTCTGGGTCTACGTGTGCACATGCAGGGTCATCTGAGAAAATGCAGTGACATGCTGCGTATCAGAATGACAGATCCTGGGCTCTGAGAAGACAGGAATGGCTGTGTCACTAGGAGTGCATAATCTGTAACGCACCAAATAAGTACTGTTCTTACGAGTTACCCTGGCGTTAGAGTCTGACTCGTGGGTGTCACACTAGCACTGTACAATCCGAGCAGGAAGTGCCCAGGGGAGTGCCTGGGAATGGAGCCCTGGAGGATTGATGGAGTTCTGCCAAAATACAGGAGGAAGTGCTTTCAGGCAGAAGGAACAGCACTAAAAAAGTCTGAGGTAGAAAGGACATGGAATCTAAGGAATGACTGGTGGTGTGGCCAAGGTTGTGCAATATGCCACCAACTTCGCAGAGCAGAGCCCTGGGGCTGCCACCTCCCTGCTCAAAAGTTCAGTTCTGCATCAGCATTCAGTGGGCATCAAATCTGGTGCCAAGTCAATTCTTCTGCCCTTTTTCTGTTAAAAAATAAAACGAAATGAGACCCCACACTCAGTTAACAGCTTGTTTTCCACCTCCCCATATACATCTTGCATTCTTCTCATCTACTACCCAAGCTGTCCACTCATTCCTTCCTGTCCCCTGTCTCTGTCCTGACAACATCCTCCCACAACGACGGCACCACCCCAAGAGTGCCCAGTGTGGGCAAACTGCAGCCACTGCTGGGGGTGGTGGAGAACTGGTTGCAGCATTTCTGAAGTGCAATTTATGACACCATAAAACAGCCACCACACT